AATAAACGTTAAAATGAAGGTTAATCTCATATCTATTGCTATTTTTTAAAATCGAAATTCTTATGCTGAGTCGCATTTATTCTATATATATATATATTTATTACAAAACTGTTTAAATGTGTTCACGTCAACTTCCTTGTATCCGCCAGGTGACAGTATTACTACGACTAAAAATCTAAAAAAAAAACGATCTGGTATCCAACCATCGTAACTTATCATCCCTCTACGTTTTGCAGATGCAAATTCCAACTGAACATTTTTTTCAATAACCTATGAATAGTAATGAAATATCGTAACATTATGGTCCAAGGTATGCGTATGCTGCGTATTGTACATATCTCACAGGTACAGTTTTATATTTTATTGTTTCTGCATTTCTTACTGGAACATCCAATACGATACTCACAACATGCCAATTGTTTCGAAATGATTGTACCACCATGGCATATGTTAATTTAAGCCGTGGGGTCTTCTTTGTTAAAAAGTTTCCGTTTTGAGGTACTTTGGATGCACAACGATAAACTCGACCGTTTGCCCTAATGGCTGTCTATGGGTTTCTGTTTGGACAATTTACAAATAAAAATAGTATTCATTTTTGCCCTGTCATCGTTCAGACAGTTGTGGATGATTGTGACCTGATATTCCCTTGTTTTTTTTCTTCTTGGTCGATGTCTTTGTTGTGAATCACAAGTTGTATTGACCTCGTGAGTTGATGCCAACGCATAAGCCAACGTTCATATTTTCAACCAAAATATTTGATTGATTTTCCCTTGGATTGATAGTTCCATATACAGTATGACACAACATATATTGACGTATGCCAGGTTTCAATAACAATAAGAATATATTCAAATTTTAGCAAATGATTATCAAATATTGGAAAATGCGTAAAGTGTGACTTATAACATTTTATTTATATCACGCATACTTTGTTAAAAAGTACAAATGTGAAGGATGTACTTGAGAACTTATAAATTTAATTTGCATTCACGCGTTGGAAACATCAAAAATTTAGTCAAATTGGTATACTATTCACCGACAGGTGAATTTTTCATGACGCGAACGATATGTTTACAATTAAACATTACATGCCAGATTACGTTGTATTTGTTTATGGTCAACTAACTCCAGAGTTCATCAATGTCGCTGGATAACCAGTTTGGAGATCAAAATGTATGGACCGAAAATATCACCGCTTGGTACAACGTGTGATAGAAATTTTCAATCTGTCTATTTGATTGAATCATATTTTTGCTGATAGCGTATATAAAAAAGGTCATTCCGCAAATTAAACTTATCCCCTTGAACTGAGTGTAATTTTTTTAATAAAATTCAAAAAAATCATTTTGGCGGAATAATTCAATGTTTGCTCGATAATGTGCCTTACACTGGAATAATGTTTAGATGACTTAAAATTGAATGTAACTTCAATTTCGTGGTAAAACCTTCGATGCAAATAGAAAAATGCGAGCAAAATTTACAGCCACATTTATGTTTCGCAAATTGAAAGCTTTGTTGACGGGCCAAAATTGTTATTTTCAAATATCTTTTCGCTGCATTTTGGTAAAATATTTTTATGTGACACGTGAACTTGAAACGTAAATAAATGACACTACTGTAGAAAAAAAAAACAGCACTAGATCCCTGATATGGCGTAGCAAGTAACACCCAGGCCATAGAGCAATAAGTCATTTTCATTCAGTGTTTTGTACACATATGAAAAATTTCGATATTGCGACCGCGTTAATCAAACGTGTCAAACGGATTAAAAATGTTCGCGTGACTCGAAAGCTTTTAGCGACTTAAACACCTTGTAAGCCCCCGGATTTGAATAGATATGCAGGAAATTGTTATTAATTTGGTGCCTGCAGTCATTCATACCACAACCATGACTGTGTTTATTTGTATACCACATATTACATCAGTATTAAACATATATAAATTGACCACCTGTGGTTTGCTTCGAAATAGGCAGCAAATGATCACGTAAGCCCATGTTTAATATCAAAACACTCATTTTCTTCATGACATCCTTTCTAGACGGAAAATAATAATTGAACCGTCGAATAATTTTTTTCAATTATTATTTCATTTAATCACAGTGGTTATTTAAAAATTTTAATATTCGTGTTACTTTTATTATTAGACAATGACTGGTACGAATTAAGAATTTTAAAAACTGTGCCATTGATAGATTTCAACGGTCGTATTTAAATAACTCTAGAGAGCAATGCACAAATATATCCGTACGGTATAAATATATCGGTACCGTAGCGGTAAGGCCCGATCACCTGATCACCGAGTTTGCTGAAAAATCCGCGAACAAAAGTGACTGAAAAAATGGACAATAAGGCATAAAATAGTGGGGATAATTTTGTGTCCCATAAAAAAAATTGTAAATAAAATAAAACAACAGACTTTGAGTAGTTCGACCCTTCTTCGAGTACTGAAAATTTGAAATCAATCTACATTTAGTTTTTGGTAGTCCATTAGTTGCGAGGATAAGCGCTTTTGCGTGTTTTTTTTTACAACAACTTTTTTTTACAACAACAAGAAGAATTTAGACGAAGCGATCCTCAGGTCCGCGTCGTCTCCAAATAATATATTTAAAATGCTACAACATTTAGGTGGCTTTGTCAGCATTAGTATCACAAAGTTAGCATTCTATCGCGACTAGTCATTTAAATATTGACCATCGCAATTATGAACTCTAGTCCTCGTAGATGTCGATCAGAAAACATAAATAAACACAAATATATCTACCAGTTCGACTAATTCGTTTGACTTTCTTCAACCTGAAATATGAACCTACTCTTGCCCGTAATATAAATCCGTAGGTTAAAAGGTCGATTCCTGATTCATTCAATATTTATACCAATGTTTATATTGGGTCTGATTTACTTTTCCGTTGTCAAAATCGGCGACAGTTTTGGAACGGTCGTTGGTGGCGTCGTACTTCAAATAAATATAAAATTTAGATATTATATAATTAAAAACCATTAGTCAGGGAGTGAAATTGCAATGATTTTTCAAATGGCCATCGGATAAGTGTTCGTGTAGACTTCGGGGGTGACTATGAACGTGGTGATTTCTTTGAGCCAAAGATATTACCATTTATTCCATTCACTCCTGGAACCAATCGTACAAAGAAGTTCCATTTTTGTTGTAAATTCTAATCTCCATAATATCAAACTATGGAATCGTATTTGCACTCACACAACGCTTCTAATCTGCAAGTCGTGCAAAACTTCCACAACTGAACCTCGCTACAAGAAATCACATGCGATAAAATTTGATTTTATTACTCATGCCAGATTGCAACCTAAAAATGTCGTACTTATTCGATCTGAAAATTGTCTATACACGGAAAAATTTGAAACCTAATACGGTCACAATACATTGCGAATATAACAATATTCAAATAACTCAACTCAATAAATCATATTAAACATAATTTTGTCAGTCGAAGTTGATAGCTATTTTAACCTCAAGTTGTTTATTATCGTTATCTTCCCAATATAGTGTTACACGTGGGAAGATAATAACATTCTATAGCAGCATCTGAGTTTTTATAATTTCCGCCAAATAACGTCACGGTAAAGTAAACGTGTAACTTCACACAGGTCAATTATGAACATCATACAGTTGATAAAAGCTAAATAGGGCCTAATAGATGTAAATGTGATATATCTAAGATGAGAGTGTGTACTTTACACAAAATATATACTGAATGGGTCATAACTGTTATGCAATAATATCTTGATGCCATATTATTTTTAACTTTTTTATTAACGTTTGTCATAAAGACAACGTCAATTGAAAACGATAAACACATCCGAACTTGAAAAATGTTGCTTCGATACTGCATTGAACAACAGTTTGTTCGTAGACTCTCGGAAATTTTGGCTCAGAAGAAGAAAAAGTAGTTGAAGAACCCGGATATATATATTTTGTCGTGTTATGATGCATCTTCTTTGTAATAAAACAAATTATTCGTCTCATTGGCATGTTCTTGGTGCCTTGCTTGTATTTTCTGAAGTAACCGCTTTGAAAATATTGAAGTGCATCAAACATTCATGTTATATATTATGTAAAATATATTGTATGTAATAAGAACATGCGAATTCTTGTCCAATTACTATTGTCCAATTATAATTACGAGCCCTCTGACGAACAGAAATTTGGAAACTTAGACCTCTTTTGAACTTGACGAGATAACGACCATTGGCTATTATTAGCAAACGTTCAAAATATCGCTTTATTTAGTAATTCTGGATTGGCAACCTTTCTTATCAAACCAATTGGGATTTTCTACTTACTTTTTGTAATCTTCAAAGTATTTCGCTATAACTAATTTCGTTTCAGTATAGATCGCAATGTCTGCAGTAGTCATATATATTTAAAATACTTGCTAGGTTATATGGTTATGAAGTTCTATGAATTAATAAATAGAAACTGATAGCATTATTATAGGACTAAAGAATGTATAAGATGTATACCTTCACCGACAAAAAAATCGACCATATTTAGGATTATTTTTTCATAACCAATTCAAAGTAACGGTATATTTTTCTAATATAATTTTATTCATATACACGTTATATTTTGCTAGTATCACATTATTTTTACATATTCATGGCTTTGGCATTCATCAGTTTAAAAATATGCCTCAGACAACGTTTCCGTTCACACATCAAAGTTCAAAGACATGCTGAGACAGGAAACCCAAGAATGACGCACAAAAATAATATAATATACTGAAATAATTTTTCCAAAGGGAATTTGCTCGAGGACAAATTTGGTCGGACAATTTAATCTAATAATAAAACCTCCTTGATCCAAATTTAAAGATCGATACTTCGATCACAATGTAAGAACCTATTTCATACATATGTTAGTCCGTACGGTATTTGAGGTTATGTTTTAATAAAAAAGGATTTTTCCTCAAATATTTTCCGCTCGTATTTTTTCAATCGAACTCCATTATATCCTACAAGGCTTGTTTGATAGTTCTAACTTCTTTAACCCTGTGTGTTACATATAGAATTACCAGATCTGACCGCGTGATAACCTACGCAACAAAATTTCACCTATATTTAAAACCTCACTGCATCAAGCAGTCAAATAAACGTTGACGACGTACATTTTTTAATATATATTTGAAAAATACACGATTTGAAGAGCGTAAATAATATAAATATAAGAATGAAAACAAACAAAAAAGTACATCAGCCAATGGAAAATGAGATTTTAGGTATCACTATCCCAATATCTCTAACGGGATGGCAGAACGTAAAAGCTGTCCGCAATTACTTATGACTTATGAGTAACATGAAAAATATCTAAAGATTTTCGAGATTGTTGAAATGAATAGTCAGATATGACCGGTTATACAAACTTCGATGACCACCCAACTCCTGATTATGGGCCAATGTTTTTTTCTTACTCTAAAGTTCTGAATTTTGATATAATGGGGTAATTTATTTTTAACTAGCTTTCTTTTTGTTGTTGTTGTTCTTCAGAGACCTTGTCCGTTGCGCGATTGAAAAATTTACTCCACAAAGCTTGGAACTGTCGCCCTTTTCAACAATTCTTGCGTGGCATCTATCATCATACTTGACTTCACATAACGAATTCAGCTTTTCCTTCGACATTTGTCTGAAAAAAAAAGCTAGTTTTCCGAATATATGCTCATTTGTTGTGTGCATTCATTTGTTATTTAAAGTTGTGTGCATAAATAACAGATGAATTCAACAAGACTCAATATTATTTTATGATGGGTTTCTATTTTAGTTATATTGCATAAGTTCCAAGTTATGCAGCTATCATAAACTTCAACGATGCACCAATTAACGTTTAATTATCCCAACTTAAGTGTGATGTTGAGTGCTCCGTAAATTAGTTCAACGTATTAGCACTTTTAAAGAGCCCGAAAAAAGCTGTTAATATTGACGGCTCAGAGTATGAAAAACTAGGCGCCGATAACGCTTACACAAACTAAATCTAATCAGGCATGTGTTCGTATATCTACATCAAACTTTTCGACCTATTCAACATTTTTATATTTATATCAACGTCCATCCAACATATTACAAACGTACACACCTCTGACAACAGAACGATTCCTTTTCGACGTAATAGAAATGCACGTATTTTAAGGCGGGAAAACTAAAAGTTCCTGATTCCTCATCAAAAATTGGAGAGGGCGCGTCTTCACATTCAATAGATATTGCTTTCTTTTTAGGAAGTTCAACTTCCTCATCAATTACATCATGCGCTGTATCAATAGAAATTCCCTTTAAGCGATTGCCTAATGAGCTTTTCTTCATCCCTTTCTCGTTGTATTCATCAACTGCTTCGATGCATGAATTCTAAATAATAGTAAAATATCCTATAATCTTGATAATATTATATATCGTATTCAACATTTTATTCCGCCTTTATAAAACAATTTAAAATTTCGTGCGTAAAATTTTGGATTAAATCATATTTTCAATAATATTGTGTTATAATAATACAAATATGCTTAATTGTGTATTCCAGTAGTCATGCGTAACGTTAGACAATATACCTATACGTCTTTTGTCTAAACTAAACAATTCAGTGAAGTTACTATCCTTTAAAAGTCTCACCGTGTATTTTTTTACTTCTCTGCATATGCAAGTACTGCACGATTCTTGTAAATCACCAACAATCACCCAGTAGTCTATAGCTTTAGTTGGGATATTTTGGTTTTCCGAACCTTTACAGCCTTTGCGTGTGCTGCATTTTAAGCACAAAGCTGAGGCAATAAAACATAAATAAATGCATACATATGCCTTCATGATACAAGGTAACAACAAATCGCCAATGAATTTGGGAATGCCACAACAATAGTTAAGACTGTGGCGATCCCGAATGTGATCGTCTTTATATACTTCTATGAAATCTAAAACCAAGCCTGGGGCGTTTTTGTGTTAACAATATTTTCGAACGTTCTATAAAATTTCATTAGACATTTTTTACCGGGTCCTTAAAAGGTAATAACCAACGATAAACATTGAATAGTACGCGAAAATTTTATCACTCATTGGAGAAGAATGCTTTTGTACAAAGATATTATGGCTATTAAATTTAAATAAACCTCTCAGTCGATTTCATTAGTATATACCGGTATGTATCAATATTTTTGTTTATTTTGATTTTAGTCAAGTGTTGGAGAATTAAAAGAATGAGTCTGTCTGGTATGAGTTGACGTATTTCACGAAAAACCACTTTGCGCGAATTTTGCCACGAACCATATCATTTCATCTTGTATAGTCTTATATCTAATATAACTGTGACTTGACCGGCCGTTGGTTACGGCTTGTACACCAATATGATCACATGCCCATGCATCTGGAACAGTTAATGAACTGGTTATCCGGTGATCCGAACTGAAATGATAACTGAGAGAGAAGCCACAGTTGTCATATTGTTAAGTTGACTTAATACAAAAGCCGCATTTCACTTACTTACAATTGATATTGATTTAAGAGTTGAATAGAAATATGTACATCTATTTGTCATATATGTACGAGTATATAAACAAGTAATAGTTATATGTTACGACAATGGGAGTTATAAATAGTAGAAGGATTTACTGAACATTATATTCTTCAACACAGATTTTTAATGGACCAATTGGCTGAAGAAAGAGACGATATTGCTTAGCATTCGACTACAGGGTTTCCGCTCACCTCTGCCATCTAACGGTCGAATATACACACTACAAGTTTTACTATCACCACTAGAAGTTTGATGAACTGGAACATATTTAACTACCGGCCAGTTATTTATGTTTTCTACCTGAAGGATACGAATAAAATGTGAAAATCATGGTTCCCAGTGAAAACCTAGGCTTACCACAAGGTTCTTTTCAAGCGGTGATTTCAAATACTACACTATGTAGTTTTCTGTTGAGATTTTATTGTGCTTTCTTTATGGTGGATAGAAAAATAACATGATTGGTACATGTATCACAGCAACTGGTCCTCCTAGCTTTGTCATTCAGAATTGAATTGATACCGTATGTTTCTGTTGTGGGGCACGGAAGACACGGAAAGTCTCGTGGAAATATGTAATGAATATGAAAATTTGTATTTTATATACAGCAATATTTCACACCAGCATTTTTTCCAGTGCGGGCGCAATTTCTTCGCTATATAAACCACACATATTGTTAAATCGTGAGGAAGGTTTGATCTATGCCAACCCTGCACTTTTAATGTAAAGTAGCGTTCTAATTGGAAAATAGTGAACAATATTCCTCATATTAGTCCCATTAAATAATTTAATCCAATAACCGTTTGAAATAATTGCACGGAGCAAAATAGGATTATGGTGCGATTATTCCAAGCAATCAGATTTACTTAATTTAAGTAATCGATATTCGTAATACTACGAGATATAACATAAATTTGAACATATAGGTTTTATATTTCTAACCCTAAAGCTCGACCCACTTTTTCGTCGCATAAAATTGACACTACTAATGAAAGAAGACGCATTTCATTGCAGCGCTAATGGTACAACTTTACCGTTCATCTTTTATTCAGTTTGATTCGTTGTCATTGATATGGTCACAACTGGTGAATTTGTCTGTTATGGAACGTAATTTTGGTGTTTAACTACACATATTTAAAACGAAATAGTCGGCATCTGAGGTCACAGCGTTACAAATTTGGAGATGTACCGATGTATCGGCAATTTTTCGGTATCGGATAAATGTAGACCAATATATTTAGCTTTTCAATACGAATCAGAATGTTTTGAAAAATAAGTTAAAATACTAATCTTGAAATATTTTTTTGCTCGAATAGATCGTGAACTATGTTGCGCCCTGCACGTCGCCACCCCAGCGAGAAGAAACATGAATAGGATTCTGACTTGTTTTAGCTATTTATCAGCCAAACTGGCTCAACTAATTTGGCTATATCCGCAGCCAAATTTTTGATATTACATGGTAATTAGAAAGAAATATATCAATCGAATATTAGTGGACGTCCCAATGTGTAAAAAACAACGTTATATTGGCGCAAAATCCTGCGCACGTAACTCAGTGTATCAGTTTGATAGGATAAGGAGGCTGAATACTTTCCACCAACAGTAGCCAAACCCTATGATTTTTCTGATTGAGCATCTGAATCAATTAACGCATTTGGATTTCAAACATCAGTTAGTTAATTAATACATATATATATATACACACAGTATATAGATAGCTGTGACCGTCAGCTGATTTTCTTTTTAGGAATTTCACATTTACAAAACTTTCACCAATCATGAGTTGTTCATCGTTATTCTACCTTATGCTAAAGACTTTTATTACTTATCGATTTTAATCGGTAAGTATGTTGATGGGTGTTTGTCTGTTGGATGCACGCGAAATCTCACGAAAGCGAGATTGAATCTGCTCCAGATTTTGCATGTGCATTCATCATATGTCGTACCAGAAGCCTGTTGATTTTGGATGAATTATGTCGTATGATTAGCGAGTTATTAATCAATTAGTGATGGGACACAAGGTGTCACTATGGAGTAAGAGCGCTGTTTTGGGTCCCCCTAAGTTTCGATCGATAAGTCTTCGGTATCTGACCGATATTCTCGTGTTTAACCTTGTGGCATTGCCTACATGCTGGCATCATAGAGGATAACTTCATTGATAATCGATCGAAAACTCATTGTTTGCGCCTCACGAAATCATGTATAAGAGACTTTTAGAATGCGGTTACAATACATTTTTCATGGCAGATCCACCTAATTATGAACCGCTAATTATTTTACAAAATACTCTGCGACGACCATCAATCCCATCGTGCCTAGATGCCGAAACAAGTTCGTCATCATACAGCTGAATTCCTTGTTTCGGTCCGATTTGCCACAAAATAATGGTGTGTGATATGTTAGCTAAACAAGAGTGTACACCATTGGTTTTTAACCATTTGGTGGAGAGGAACTGAGGTGAAACATATTTCCAAGGCTGGAGAACCCCCTGTCTGCCTGTGTAATAGTTCAATTGTCTGAATGGTATAAATATGTATGAGCAAACCTAATACTGACAAAACAAAGTGATTTTCAAATTATAGAAAGTTTAATAATTTTGACAAATCTTATAGGTACCGGTACCGGTATATCATTATATATAAACGATATAAATTTATTAATATGGACTTTACGATTTGAATTAAAACTTGTGGAACCCCTGGACTACCAGCGTAAAAGTAGAAAAGGGAGATGATTCGGGCGTTTACGATCTTACAATCGTAAGACAATGCTCTTTTAGGTTCATTGTTAGGGTATCGAAGATAAGTTATCTATCTTGTAAGAAAATCAAATACAAACTCTAACGGCTATATTTACTTTGGTGATATAATCGCCGTTTTTGTAAGTGACATTTCAGGTCAACCCAACGTTATCATAACTATTATCGAACTCTTTGTATGCACTTCAGTCTTCAGCTTCAGTCTTACACGCATGCTTTTGAATTTAAAACAAAGCTCCATCTCTCCGACGAGAATATATGACCTAGGGTTAACTCTATAGTGGCGTGATGGCATCGAACGAATCACAGACGCCGCACACACATTCACGCGCGTTTGTTACAAATATGAAAATCTCTTGTGACGTAACAGGGCTTGTGATGGGAGTTGTCGGGTTACTTTCGTACGTCGACCTTATCAAGGGACGGCCGCGAACCATATGTACTTTGTATTCAGTGGACTGATGCCGCTCAAGGTCTTCATTTGCGCAAGAATTTTAGTTGTTTGGTTAGTACAAGGGTCGATTACGCATTGTTTAAACATGGAAAACAACATATTAATAGTTGTAGAAAAGTTTTGTGGTCGAGTGGGTATATTTAAGGTCACGTCTGTAGCACAGACAGGACAAAGACAGAAGGAATATGTTACCGGTGCGGTACAAAGAAAATTAGAATTATTTGATGTCGTAGCCTATATTCTGGATTTTAGAAGTGCCGTAAATTAATGTTAAGTTATTTTAATTCGAAATTGAAGTTTCAATTGACATCTCCCGACTGCCTCATTTCGCTCTCAGGCCTGCAGGGAGAATGGACTAAATTTAACTTCTGGTACCTCTTTTAGAATTTCTAACCTTATCTGACAACTTAAAAAAATATGGTTCGAGAACGTAAAGCGAGCACCGTTCACATTGGTTGCACTCCGCGCAACTTATCTTTTTCTGGATGTGGTTTTCTTGGAGTTTATCATATTGGCGTCGCCAGCTGCTTCAAACAACATGCTCCAGAATTCCTTCAAAATCTGAATAGACTATATGGTTGTTCTGCTGGTTCTATTGTAGGAGCTATGCTTCTATCAGATGTTTGCTGTGGTGAATTGTGTCGATCCACTTTGGATATAGTCCGTAATGTTCGATCTCGTTACCTTGGTCCACTGAGTCCAGGCTTTAAAGCAAATAGAGTACTTTTAGATGGCCTAAGAAGAGTTCTGCCTCCGGATGCACACAAAAAATGTGATGGAAGATTATTCATCTCATTGACGAGGGTGCGTGATCGAAAGAATATAATAGTCAGTGAATATCCTACCCGAGATTCATTGATTAGTGCATTGCTTTGTAGCTGTTTTGTTCCTTTTTATTCAGGATTCATTCCTCCAATGTACCAAGGTGTGTACTATGTTGACGGTGGTTTAACTAACAATCTTCCTGCAGGATCAGACACAATCACTGTCTCTCCATGGTCTGGGGGTAGTGATATTTGTCCAAGGGATGATACGGCTATATCACTAGTTGACATAAATATTGCAAACACTAGTGTGCAGATGACTGTGCGCAACCTACATAGAGTATCCATTATGTTTTTTCCTCCAGAAGGCGAGATTTTGAGTGACTTCTGTAAACAAGGCTTTCGGGAAGCTTTGCGATACTTGAAAGAACATGGTCTGTTCGAAACCATAAATCCCACACTGCGCAGTATGTCGTTCTCAAATGAGCTTGCCCATGTTGATATGAAACAGGAGCAGAAACATAGACTCTCCATGTCGTCAAAATGGTGTGCATTGCAATCCAATGCATCACTTTGTCTAAAAGAATTGGAATGGGAAGAAGACGATGTGTGTTCTGGATCATCAGATGAAGATTATTTGACAATGACCGCTGGAACACCTTCAGAAACTTCGTCATCTACCTCTGGATGTGCATCTTCTGAATTTGAAATGAGTGATGATGACTGTGATAATAATCATAATCATGAAAACAATATTACTTCATCGGAATTGTATAAAGTTCATGTTCACAACTACCCACATCTAAAGTTTCTGCCGGTTGCTGGTGTTGTTCATATGTCATCGATGGAAGACTTTACTTCATTACTACATTTAAATTTGCCACATGTTGTGTTGCAGGCACTTGAGGAATCTTATCTTCATAAAAATAGTGGATGGTATTTTCCTATAAACAAAATGTTTTCAATCTGTGGTCGGCCTTTAGTATTGGCTAAAATGCCACTTGATAAGTCCTACTCTCTGGCCTTGCTTATACTTAAAAATGCGAACTACATACCTCAAAATTTTCAATGGGTATTGTGGTACATTTCCACTGTAGTTCACCATGTTCAGGAGCATTTTCAATTGAAAGGTTCAGAGTTAATTACAAAATTGAAGACTACAAAAGACAATTTATCTGATGAAGTTAAAGTTTTGGCTTGCCAATTGTGCATTATTATTCAATTAATTCTACAGAAAATTTGTTTTGGTAAAGACCTACCAGATTTATCCTGGGCATTGAAGATTGTTGGTGGTGTAAATACAATTTCTAAGTTCTCCAGTTATTTAACATAAAATTCACTCAGATCATCAAATAATATTTGTACCAATAATTCTGCTATTTTATAAGAATATTTTGGAAATATGGATATAGACCCTTGCGTAATATTTTCTCAATGTCAATGTATAAATATTGGCATTTTAAATCATTCTATAGTTAATTAACTAGACCACCTGCACTTTTATTTTGTGGGTGTTGAGTTATGGAAATCATCGCATGATATATGCATATTCAAAGTCTAAAGTTCATTTATCAGTATTCAAACGTCAAAAGTTCGTCTCAAATGTAAATATTCCATTTTATTACATCACTTATTTAATTTAAAGTGTTCTTGTCAGCGTGTTTTCTAATTGCTTTTATTTAATTACTTCAAAGAATTTACTTAAATTCATGCTTTGTAAATATTTATTCGACTTGGTGCCCTTCTATCATTATTGTGCAATTCTTGTATGTATGAAATGGTTTTAATTTTGAGAATTTGTTGTTCATTTTTAATTTTGTGTCATTTAAAAGTTCTAATCTTATTGATCTGTGTACTCACTGCTCAGTAGATATATGAATTTGTGGTGCGGCATCTTAGGTACTAGAACACATGGCTTTTAAACCGCAACTATGCTAAGATAAACCAGTGGTTCGCGACCTGTTTTACAAGCGACTCAAATTTTTGGAAATCTAGCGACCAAAGAATATTGCTTAAATACTCGGAGTTATGTAATTCTTAAGCCTTATATCAAGAGTCGGCAACCATTTGTCGGTCACGGGCAAAAATTAAGGGTTGCAAGTGTTTGGCGGGCCGCACATATTTTTAGAAATTTGAAAACCGAACGGATGATACTTTTTATAATAAAAATCAAGCAGTGATACATCTCTCGGTTAGAGTATAGATTTAATTTCTCATTGCATTAAATATTGAAATCCCGTTTGAATACTTTCGGCGCCATTGAACCCTTTGCACTTAGCATCAACTTTTCTGCGTTTCGTTGCAATTTGTCTAATTAAAATTAAATTATAGGCTCATTAAACGAGTAATTGTGAATTTTATACTTGTTCTATTATAATTTAGTCTACACGTGTCTCACAATCAATTCTGTTACGTAAAGAATTTAATCGTCAAAACAGCTGTTTGTTACTATAATTCAGGGAAGCGGCGCGGGCCGGATTATATATATTACTAATACGAAACAACCGTTTTTACATGAAATTAATTTTCCCAAAAATTAAAACAGCTGTTTGTTACTATAATTCAGGGAAGCGGCGCGGGCCGGATTATATATATTACTAATACGAAACAACCGTTTTTACATGAAATTAATTTTCCCAAAAATTAACTCAAAAGTGAGAGGGCTGCGCTTATTTGTCATAGCGAGTTTCGAAATCGTGGCGTGGGTTTACTTAGACGAAACAACAGTTGTCAAGTTTTTACCCCGTGATACTTCCCACATATACAGGGTGATCAGACCAGGTGCGGACAAATGTTTATTAAAATATCCACAATATAAATGTGAAAGATTAAAAAATTGTTTTGCAGAAAATAGCATTATAAAGATAAATGATAGAATTCATTGGTATTTTTTGATATCCCTACTTTGCCTATCCACTACTCGCCTAGATCTGTTTGAAACTTGACTGCACGTGGCACGTATGGTTTCTTCTGAAATTTTGTCCCAACAAGTCATCAATCTATGCTTTAGATTAGAGCAGTTGTTCCAACCTGAGGTACGCGCACCACTAATGGTACGCAAGCAGCTTGAAATTATTGAAACCAATCCTTATCTTTTAGAGTTCGCCCTCGCCCGTTACTGTCCACCAAAAACGTAAAAGGCATGTTTTCGCCGTTTTACGTCACAATGCGTCTACATTAATAAATCGGCGAATAAGTGAGCGTTCGTGATAGCGGCTAGCACTGATCAAAGTGTCGTCCAAGGTTTCGGATAATTTAGTGGTTATGGTAAGATCCATTGTGACGTAACGCGAAAAATGGCAAAACATGCCCGTTACGTTTTAGATGGACAGTAACGAGCGAGAGCGATAATTCGATTATCCGACAAATCGATTGTGCAACTGTCCCGGATTGTTTTGAATGTCGTACGCAGATTGCAGTTTGTTGGTCACGAAGTGGCTTTCCAAATCTTTGGATTGTGGTTTGCAACCTTTGATTATTGGTGGAGCGCAACCCCAATGAAACATTTCGGAAGATTGAGGGAATCCGTGAACTTTAAAGATCTTATGCAAAAAACATTATTTGGTTAATAAAATACTCATATATATTTATATAAAAGCAAAGGTGACCGTACATTTGAACCCATGCGTATATCCACGGGTTCAATCTATAAGCGGGTGCTAAAACCCATGGGTTAGGGCTAGAATGGGTTTAACTATCCGTGAAACAAAAAAAATTCCATAGGTGCAATAGCATACAGGTGCAAATGTCATGGGTTCAAATGTACGTGGGTTCAAATGTAATGGAACCAAAAGCAAACCCAATACCGGCAAAACCAAATGATCCTCCTAGTGTTGTGTTATGGAATTACCGCTAGATGTAGATCAAGAGATATGAGATGTTACTTTCAAATACTCTTGGAACGGGGGTGGCCAATCAGTCTGAGACCAAGAGCCGCATTTCGTACTTTATTACCGCGACAAGCCAGATCATAAATAAGAACACATTTAAAAACATCAGATATACCTTTATTCAGCTTTGCTAGAATGCTAGTTTATTGTAAATTTCATAAACCAACATGATTATGACAGAAATTTACAAGCCATTTAGTGTTATACCATCTCGTTTTCGCGTTTTCGAACTCTATTCGTTAGTTTTCAGTTGTGTTTCGGAAATTTGAATATAAATCAGGTAATTCAATAATCACTCTGTCTTCCTATGAGTTTTAATTTAATTGCAGTAATAAAAAATTAGTGTAGAAATAGCTGCGATAGACTAGGCTAGACTTCTTTACCGGTACTTGTAAGAAACAGATTGTTGTATGCGATGAATCATAATGATGGTTTGAAACATATACCTCATTTTACAGGCGCCAACTCGCGAAACCACTCTTAAAATAAGGCCCGAAAATTTTGCAATGGTAAGGTATAGTAAGAATTTTTCGGGGGTCAAAGGTCGGGGAAAAGTCCAATAAAATAAACATTGAGACTTATTCATTGGACACGAAATGGGCCTATGAGTCGTTTTCTTAAATTGTTGTTTTTTCTTCCTAGTATTCTCCTTGTTGCTGCATTTTTGTTTTGAAAAAATTTCTTTTTTCTTCAACAATTGGACCAAAACTATTTGCACTATGTGGCGGTTCCACGATCGCATTTCAACGATCTGGTGGTTAGCGAAGTTGGGAGTTTTTTAATAAGGTAGACCAGGGTGGTCCAAACCCTGTCATGCTGATACATTTCGTGCGGCTCACAGAACAATTTTAGCGTATATTTGTATCTAACAGAATGAACGTTTTTGATTTTTTTGGTATTCCAACTGGGGTTGGTATCCCGAGTTTCGAACCCTTTTTCTAACGCTTTGTGACTTTATTTTAGTAAAAACACTTCTCTGTTTTCAAGCGTCGGCCATGTGACAGTAGTGACGAAACGCAGAGCCGACTTAACGCCGCCCAATCCATTTTTTTTAGCTGGGTCCCGAAATACCAACTTAGTCGGACTCGGTAGATATTTGACGATGGCACTAAGCTTGCTCACGCTGCAAGTTTTTAAATTACTCAAATATAACAATTCGTAATAAAATTTGTCACAAGAAAAGTGAGATGAGGAAAATTAACTTTAAAATAACTAAAGGCTTTATATATCTTCTTCAAAAGAACGCCACCCATGCAACATAATAATATATAGTCTGATTAGGACGGTAAACTCTCGTTGTTTATTAAATTTAAAGTAAGTAACCTCGCGATATTTCGATCACTTTTGGGTTTTCTCCGACTTGAGGCCCGCGAGACTTCCTCAAAAGTTTTTGCGGTCATACAACCTAGAACCACTCTGAGGTAGACTACTAGGAACCGGTAAAATTCCAAACTACGGTTGTGACTTGTATGCTTTGGTATTTCGATTCACGTTGAGACTGGAGGCATGAATCTTTATTGTCACACTCTCGCAGGATTAGATCTCAACCGATATATCGACCCGATATTGCGTGTTTGCCGATATATCTTATCGGCAGTAAACGGCCGATATATATATCGATCATCTTCAAATAATTTGCAGCCTCACCCGAGCCGAGACTAGAGGGAAATTTCAAACAATCCGTCTTGGAATTTAATGTGTCGTCGTCGACGTAACTTGTGACGTTATATCTGCACACCAATTACATCACTCAAACTTCGTTTTCGAAACGATTACGACAGCCGTTGTAGTGCAATAAACGCGACACACAACAAAGAATTTGATTGTGACTTAATAACGGACGATTGCATGATAAAGTGAATGGAGGCTCTTCTGTCGTGCCTTCGACGTAATAAAAGAAGAATGCACGATGAATCATATGTTTATTCGAAACGTGATTAATTGTAGTTTGCAAGTTATTTTTCCCTTAAAATACCCGAGGCGAAAAGAGCCGCATGCGGCTCGCGAGCCGCGGGTTGGCCACCCCCGTCCTGGAAGAAGGTAGTAGGCATTTAACTGCTTTTATGACGAATGAAGGTTTCTTTCAGTATTGAAGAATTTCCTATGGCGTGACCTCAGCACCAGGATGATGTCAGAAAGTAATTTCAGACATTTCATCGAATATTCCTAATTGTATGATATGGCTGGGCACGATCGCATTTTTAACAAAGTGTTACAAAATTTACGAAATTGTCATGCAGCTTTAAATCTGAATGAATGTTCATTTCGTCAGAATGAAATTAAATTTATGGGTCATAGATAGTATTAGTGGTGACGAAGTAAACGCAATCATGTTTAATGTGAAGGCGATTTTAAATTCACTAATTCCTAAATCTACTGAAGTTGCTTAATTTATGTGAAGAGCAAATTTTTACTTGCGCGCCAACTTTGTCGTATTTCAATCCAAATGATTAAACATTTGTTTCCGCCTCACTTGATGCCTCAAGTGTAGCTCTTTGAAGCAATTCTGTTGAAATTTAAACATGTCCGGGGGAAACCTGTAACCTTTGCTTCGAGAACGTTGTCAACAACTGAAAAAAAAAATACTCCACAGTCGAACGTGTAGCATCAACATGTATTTTTGCTGTTGGACACTGGCATGTGTATCTATATGGTCGTAAATTGTCCTTGAGAACAACCTTTATCTATACCTATACCAAACTGAATCGCTGCATCTTCGTTTCGTTGGCGCTCCCGTATATGCGCACCAAGATGGCGCACACCCTGAACATAGTATGTGTACTGGAGATGTACCGATGTATCGGTATCGGGTATCGGTATCGGCAATATCGGCCATTTTTTCGGTATCGGCCATTTATCGGTATCGGTTAGATTAAGGCCGATATTTCCGATATATTTACCTTTTTGATATGGTCCAGAATGTTTTAAAAGATAAGTTGGAATACTACTTTTT